CAAGTTAGCCACACAGAAAATGTTCTTATAATTATATTCTTTGAGGTTAAATTTCTATGTGACAATTATGCCATCTAGTGGTTCAGTTTTTACTAATTTAAAATTTTTTTTTAAATTTTATTTTTAATGTAGTAAAAACACAACATAAAATCTACCATCTTAATCATTGTTAATGTACAGTTCAGTAGTATTATATTTACTCACATTGTTTTGCAACAGATTTTAGAAATTCTTCATCGTATAAAACTGAAACTCCATATCCATTAAACCACCCTTTCCCCTTTCCCCAGCCCTTGGCAACCCCCATTCTACTTTCTGTTTCTATGAATTTGACACTCTAGATGCCTCGTGTAAGTGGTAGAAAACAGCTACACTGAGAATGCCATCCAGCTGCCTTCTCTCTGAACCATTAAATATCAAGTGGAGTTTTACATCTTTTCTCTGAACCATTAAATATCAAGTGGAGTTTTACATCTACTTGAAAATCTCAAGTAGAAACAACATTGGCCAGAAATGTTGAACCCTTTCTTTAGCATTTTAGGGAAAAAAGACGTTGCCTTCCTCTTGTGCTTCCTAAGAGAATGAAAGAAGAGGTTATGTAACCTCGATTTCCCATTGGTAAGTTGTTAGGGGCAGCTGGCCTTTGGTCTAGTTTTGTGACTGAAGAGAAAGGAGCAAGCGAAGCTTCCACCTAGTTCTTTGGGGAAAACAGTAGGAGTGGGATCAGGTCGCTCTCAGCAAAGCTGTATGCATCCTTTTTGTGCAAGAGATTTCTCTTTGCATCACTCAGGTCATCTTTTCTTCTTTTTATATCATATCTATAGGATCCTGGCTTGGTATTTGACTAGTGGAGTTTTTGGAGATCTCATTTAAATGGAGCTTAGAAATGGCAACTGAGCCTAAATGCAGCTTAGAAATGGCAACATAAGCCTAAAGCCTTAGACCAGAACTACAACTCAAAATGTTCTCTCTTGCACAGAGCACCAGCCTCCTTACATCATTGCAGTGTTGCCTCGATATGTGGAGATCCGAACATTTGAGCCGAGGCTTCTGGTCCAGAGCATTGAATTGCAAAGGCCCCGTTTCATTACCTCGGGAGGGTAAGGAATTTTTTTCTTTAACGTAGCTGCCTTTAGAATAATGTGATATTATTCTAAAGCTTTAGAGTCACCTGTGTTGTCATAAAGCCTGTGCTCCTTTGCTGATATTCTTACTCCTGCCTCCAGATCAAACATTATTTACGTGGCCAGCAATCATTTTGTTTGGAGACTCATTCCTGTCCCCATGGCAACCCAAATCCAACAGCTTCTCCAGGACAAGCAGTTTGAATTGGCTTTGCAGCTTGCAGTAAGTCTTTTTTTCTGAGATTAGGGTGTGAGTCTGCCTTCCTCATTGTTCTCCAGAGTAGGTAATTTGTCTTTAGTCCATGTTTATATTTAGTTTGGACTGATAGAATAAGCACAGAACTGAAAGTCAGAGGACTTAGATTCAAGGTCTGACTCTACCTTAAAGTATCTGCGTTAAGTGATTTCACTTTTTCAATTGGCTCATCTATCAAATATAGAATGAGTGCCATAATAGTAGTACCTCATAGAATTAATAGAATAAAATAATTTAATAGATATGGTCTGGCCTTGAAAAATGAAAGACAGTGCAAACATTAGAGTGAAGTAACAATCATAAATGTAAAATTACATATTTATTGAATGGAACTACTCAACATCCCTTTCAACAGTGGACTTCTGTATTTAGATTAGCAGGGCTTCTTTTAGGTGTTCTGCAACCATCTCAAATTGCTGCATTCAGCAGGGCTGTACTTTTATATTTATGACTGTCACTCTCCTCAAATGTTTGCATGGAACGATGTTCACAGTGAAGTAGCAACCATGCTCTGGTTCCAGTAATACTGCCATTGCCAACAGACTTCTTGGACACTGATTTCCAGGGCTTGTCTTGTTGTTTTGGACATCCTCGGTGGTGATTATTGTCATTTGTAGAGGGTGGAGTTGATTTTAGAAAAAAACCAAAAGTTATTCTGAGCTTTTCCTAGTCATTAAACCATATGGTGGTAATTTGGTAAAAGAGAAGAAATTTTTATGAAGGTAATTATAGGAAAACTTAATTACTAGATTATGTTGTGAATTATTTCTGAAAGGAAAGCAGTAGTGACAAATTTTGGTATACATATGTTTATAGTCACATACGATGAGTACTTTTGAAGAGCAACATTTATTTTGGATGTATGAGTTCTGGATTTAAAACAAAAATCTGGTCTTAATTGTTGGCCATGTTTAATATCCCATAAATTTTTTTTCTTTCCTGGGACATTTAATTTCAGCATCTTACCATTCTGTTATTTTCTACTCGTACACTGCCCTATATTATTTTATTTTATTTTCATTTTAAAATTACTGAATACCCATGAAATGAACTCACCATCCTACCCAAGAAAAAGGACTTATATAACATATATGTTCCTCTCCATCCCGTCCCTCTTGTCTCCCCTCCAGACATAGCCATTATTTAAAATTTTGTGTTTATTGTGCCCTTAAATTTCTTTTATTTAATCTTTTACATTTACATGTTTGCTTGAATATGTATTTAGTTTTTGAACTTCATAAGAAAGGATGTCATGCAGTACATAGCTTCTTTAATATCTATATTTTTCTTAATAGGAAGGTCTCAGATCTTTTCAGTGATCATCCTGCTGCAGGTTGTCTGTTTAATCTTTAGTAGAGAAATGGAAGTGGGTTTTGATTTTTCCTTCTCTTTTCTAGGCTTGCGCTTACTAGGTGGTCTACTCTGTGATGAAAGAGGGTTGGTTGATAACATCTTAGCTCTTAAGGAACTTATCTTTTTTT